TGTTGTTTTTGAACTCTTTATGAATAGAATTAAGGCGTGTTGATTAGTTGAACACAAACAATGAAATGAAATTTTCAACACCATTATTTTTAAAAAGATTTTTAAAAAGATTTAATATTTTTACTCAAATAAAAACGGCATCATAATACAGTACAGGGTACAATTGAGCCCCAGCTCAATTCTACCATTGTAAGCTCAATTTCGGTAACCGGCAAAATTATTAAAATATTCTCCATTCGTTTTTTAGTTTCATTTAATCGCATTTCATTTAATAAGGAAAATTATGCGATGGCACTAAATTTATGATGGTAAGTCGAGTTTTTCTGCGAAAATCTGTTTCTATTTGCTAGGGAAGTACAAACTATTTTCTTACAAGATATCACTCTGTCCGGTCTTGATGAAAATTTTTGTATATATCTAAGGTTACTTTGGTTATTTCACAAATTAGTTTTGGCTATTTCAACTTTTAGTGCTTTACCACTAATACATTTTTGTCTAATCTTACATTTTTGATCATTTTCAAAAATGTAATCAGGTGTCCGGTTGCTGACATTTACTTCGGGCCAAATTGCGCTTACAAATGCAAATAATAAGTCTTGAAATTTAATTTTTAAATTTTAAGTATTCAAACAATAAAGTTATATATTTTCTTAGAATATCAGGGCTACGAAAATGAACTGGATAGATTTATACTCGGGATAGATTTTAAGTTTTTTATTTGTTCAAATTTAATATTTGAATTCCGTTTTCCGAATTAAAAATAAGTCTCTACTTTAGAAGTAAAATTTATAAGAGCTATATTTAAAACTAATGCTTAAAAAGACTTTTCGTTAGCTTCGTCATGATCACATCAAATTCTCTTTTATTTCGAATTTTAAATTTTAAAAATTTATATAAGCCGATCAGTTTATTAGTCCACTCTATAAATTTGACAGAAAAAACACCTAATAAGAAGTGCTCCAATTATAATTAATTAATGCTATTATCCTTTTATTTTAATATTTTAAAAGTTTACATATTACTAATGCTGAATTTTATATTAGAAAAACCAGCTTATCTCTGTTCCAATCAATTTTTAATGAAATAAATTCACCTCCTACTTATTTAGAAAATTTTGCTATAAAATATCCTTAATAAAGTAAAATGCATATAGACGTGCAATTATAAAGAAGAATTTGTCTATTCAACAAAATTTTATGAATCGCATGGATTAAAATGCATTACATGAATCCTTAACTACAATAATAAGGAAATACATATACATATGTACAGGAAAAAGTTTCAGTTCCTTTAAAAAAAAATTAAGATTATACAAAGAATTAAAGAAAATTTGCTGTAAACCTAAATGTGTGTAAATAAACAAATTTACCACCCACAATATTCGTTTTTTTATGCCATAAATTAAATCCCACATTATATACATATAATTATTTTTAAAGTTAAAAAGTCATAAATTAGAAATTTAACTATAAGGTACAGACAAAATTTTAATTGAAATCTATTAAATTTGCAAATATTTTCAGGAAATTTTTTTATGTTACATAAACTAGATGACGTTCTGGAGGTTTTTAAAATTCTGTATGAAATCTATCAGTTGCAATTTTTTTTAAAACTTTAACATAATTCCAAAAAAACGTCAAATGATTTTTTTTGATTGTTCGAAAATATAATTTTAATATTGAAAACCTTAAGAAACACATTTTTCATATCAATTTTCAATTCCCTTGCATAATAAGTATGCAACCATTATTCAAATTTGTATGATCCTTGCTAAAATATTTGCTAAGACTAACCTGTAATTTAGATAAGTATGAACACATAACTTACTTTAAGTGAATGTCATTTAAATCATTTTCATCCATACACAATAATCAAACAAATTAACAAAATTACATATGTATGTATATACAAACAACAAAATTTAAGAAAGCGAAAAAAATAATAGTGAATTTAAAAGTTTCATTCATTCCTTCACCTATATTAAATGTCAACCTAGGCTATTTATCAACACCAACACAAAATAAAAAATAAAGTTTTAAAAATTAATTTTTCATAGAATATAGGCAATTGAATTATATATAAGGGTGCCACATTTAAAAATATAATTGAAAAGCATCAAATTTCTAGATAATATAAAGTTCATCATTAATAAAAAGAAAACAATGAGATATACATATTTTAAAAAAGTACCTAAGTATTTATTTTTCCTTAAATTTTCTGCCTAAAGCCTTAAAAAATTTTGTTCGTTGTAACTATGCAGAGGTAAAAAAAAAATTGGTATTTAACGAAAACGAAAAATTCATGTAAAATTCTGGGAAAATATTATTAAGGAAAATATGGTCAAAAAGGAAAACTTATGAATAAATAAAAAACGAGAAATCAATGTTCAAACAAACAAACATTAAAAGATATTATTCTGTTATTAACATTTAAACTATGAGAATATTATAGTGAAACGAAAACCGAATATTTAATTCGAATTATGTACATATTGTCACGTCATGTTAATGTAAAAGTCATAATAATAACCATCTATTTGCTCTAAGCTGGATCATCATAATTTTTATAGATCATCATTCACCTATATCACCTTCAAATCCTATATAAAAATTTAAATCTGAAATAAATTGCAAATTTAAGTTTCTTATGAATTGAATAACGTTATCGTGGTTTCCATTTAATTCATATTTTAAAATAATTGATAAATAAAATTGATCTACTAATTTCTAATTAAGGTTAGAAAATTTATTTTTAATTCTATTAAAAACTAAAATTTTTCTCAATTTATTTGAACAGGAGTTGAACATATTGTGGCTTTGTGTACTTTTTTTATAATTTTGCTTTGAAAGTATTAAATTTTTTTCTTAGGATAAAATAGACCTAATTTAAGTAGGTAGTGCATAATTTCAATCGTATTACATATTATGTGTTTTATGATAGCACAAAAAATGTCATATATTATGTACTCGTATACTAAGAGAAATAAAAAGAATATTAAAGAAAATAATATGCATAAATATTAAAAAAAAATGAACTTTTGATATTAAAGAAAAAGTTTTTGTTATTTTGATATTTACAGTTAATATAATTTTGGTGGTAAAAGATAAATAGAAAATTAAAATTGAAACAAAAAAATAACATTAATATTTAAAATGATTCAAAGAAAATAACAATTCCTCGAAATGAGCATACAAATTTATTTCATCATAGAATTAAAATTAATTTTAGTTCTATGATGAAATAAATTAGATTTAATAATTTAGATTTAATTAATACTACTTAAAAATAAATATTTCTATTGTTTAAGATTTTTAATAATTATAACAAAAATTTATTAAATAGAATTGCAAAGAATAAATGCATATCTAAGGCTTTACTAATCTGATCAATATAATTATGAATTGCAGCATGAATTTAAACTCTCTAACAATTGGCTTAATTTGTCAATGAATCTCAAATCATTTACTAAAGTGATAAAAACCAAAATAGAGGTGATAGTTTTATAACTAGAAATGTAGAAAATTGAACAAATTTTTAATCAATAATAAATTAAATATAATTTCAAAATATGAAATAAAATTTACTGTGATAGCAATAACAACACGAAAAAATAATAAAGTTAAAAAACAACAATAGTATTTATTTAAAAATCTTATATTTAAATATCAATTAATGTCATTATACATTAGACTTTTATAAGGGTGTACAATTTAATATACATAAAATTTTATATTATTTTATAATATACAATAAATTCTCAATAACTTAATTTTAAAAGGCATTCTTGTTTCATTTAATTATATAAATATATTTATATATATAATTTTAATAAAATTCATTTTCATTTATTGGACTTTACTAAATTAAATATTAATTTTAATAGCTCTTTTTTCTTAATAAAACAAAACACCATTTGTAACAATTCAGCAACAAAACACTAAGGATATTTTAAATATATGTATTGCAATATTTTTATGTTTATATTATATTTTAAAAAATGATAATAAACAAAAAAAAACAAATTACATACTTAAATATTTTTCTTTAAAAAAAAATTTTATGTTTAAAAAATCTTTGATTTAATTTTTTATCATCTTAAAACATTTTATTTAAAAACAAAGCAAAAATTAAGTTTTTTTCCTCTTATAAACTATTAATCACGTAATTTTAAATAAAATAAACAGAAAAATGAAATAAGCAAGTGATGATTTATATAACATGTATTTTTTAGAATATATATGTAATAAATATAAGAAATTTTTTTTTTTAATTTTAGTGTATTTATTAAATCCAAATATTATTATACTTTTCTCTAATTTTAAAATATGATAAATTGAAATATGATGGTAATTTCTTTCATGATAAATTTTAACTTAATTTAAAAATTTAATGTACGCCATCGTTTTTTCAAGCGAGCTAAATGATGAAAATAAAAAATAATGTTAAAAAAAAATAATATTTTGATTTTTAAAATTTCATTTTGATAATTATTCGCAATATAATTCAAAAAAAACATTATTAAAATAATTTTTGAATATATTACTTATTTATTTCCGCACAAAAATACAAATAAATTCAAAACCCAAATTAAAATGCTTAATTCTACACCATAATTCCCCAATTTTCATGGTTTACAAAAATTTAGACTTTCAGAATTTTTTTTTTTTTGATATTTTAATTTGAACTTTTTGAATTCATTTAAGTAATATTGTTATGAATATCTTCAATTATACAATTTTATGTATTTCATTATATTTTTATCGGTTTTATTTAACAAAGTCAAATATTAACATTAGAATATTGTGAAGGATGAAACTTAAATATTAAATAAAATTATTATAAATTGAAAAAAAAAATTTGTGCGAATTTTTTACAAACCAATTAATAATATGTTATAATAGATATGTAATATAAACCAAATTTAGTAATAATTTGAAATTAAATTAGTATAGGTAAATCAGGTGAATTAAGAAACAAACGCAAAAAAAAATATTAATTTTGAAAAAAATGATTTTCAATTCTTATGATTATGATTCTTGGAATTGAAAATGCTGAATGGACAACTAAAAAATTTATTACAAATTTTCGAAATTTCGCACAAAAGGTTTACAACTTTTTATGCATATGTACATATGTGGAATTTTTGTTTAAAAATTCTAAACAAATAAAATTCGTAATATTCCTTTCCTACATATTTCAAATGTTACATAAGATTAAATTTACACACATATTCTTCTAATGCAATAACATCAGCACACTCATTTTATATGATTTTATGATTTTCAGAAAATTAAAAAAGAAGTATTAATTCCTTTGAAACTCACTCATTTACAAACTATGTTTTTTTCTTTTTTGCTCTCATAAAAGCAAAATCAGACTTAAGATATTCTTAAATAGTAATAGTTACAAAATTACAAAAGCAGAAGCAAAACAAAAAGCAATAAAAATTTATGTGTATAATATAAAAACTACGATAATGATTCTTTATCGCCGTTTACTCCATTATTACCATTACCTAAAATACTTTGTATAGAAGGTTCACTTTCGGATCTTTTGTGAGTTCTTGTTACAACTGAAGGTCTTTGATCAGTTGATGTATTATTGTTATCATTTATTTCCTGTTGTAAATCAGGTACACTACGAGCTAATGGAGCATCTTCTTCAAAAACATCATCGCTTTGTACAGACGTATTTAATACTTTTTCATTTAAACAAACATCGTCTAAATCAACATCAGAATTTGAAAATAATGCGGTCGCACCTAAAGCTAATGTATTATTCTTTAATGAATTATCATCTTTTTCATTTATCGTTTTATTTTTTTTATCTGTAACAACATCGACCGTATGAGCTCTTTGTAATGGAAACGAATGGACTGGTGATGTTGATTGATCATTTGTTTGAATTTGATTAGAAACTAATTTAGTTTTTTGAGATGCTGGAGTCGATGGTAAAACATTAATTCCAGTTATACTTGAAACTGGTGTTCCACCAGTTACTGAAGATGTTGGCGTATTACCAATTTTTTCATCTTGATGTTGTTTCATAAGATCACATGCTTTTCCAAGAGCATAAATTGTATTTAAAATACGCAATGACATTAAAGAAATGTATACTAACAAAGCAAGAACAAATGCTGCCAAATTATCAAATGAAACACACGTATAAAGTGCTTTAATAAGCACCACACTCAATGGAAATGGTATAAATCCCATTCTACGTGCAACTAAATCTGAATGATCTGAATAAGCATGTTTTTGACGTGTTTGTGTCATATCATATGCTAACGATATTGTATACTCCCGATACACATCAACAGGCAACTCATTGAATCTTGTAATGAAAGCATGTTTCAGCCAATCAATTAAAGTCTAAAAATAATAAAGAAAAAATTCATACCTATATTATGATTTTTATTTTTGTCATATTAAACATTAACTTACTTCTGTTAATAATACAAAAACACAATCTGGAAGTAAAATATAAAATTGTTCTAGACTCCAGTTAAATTCTTTCATAGTTTGTATAACAACCACAAACAATAAAACACATAAGTGAAATCTTTCCCTAACATCACTACATGTAAGTTGAAATAAATTATTTTTATCGAATTTTTTAAAAACACTGCCTTTCAATTCAACAAAATTATTTGATATCATGATTGTTAATAATCCTTTATTGTTGGAATTAATTGCCACATTTAATGTTGTTGCTTGAAACATTGTTAAACAGCTATGTAACATTACATATATTGTGGCAAAAAATATATGCCACAAAATTCCAAAATGTTCACGTTTTTTATTTTTAGGTTCAGTAGCGGTCCAAAATAATGAATCAATTGTATCTTGGCCAAATGCAGATAATAATCTATCACCAACTTCTAACATATTATAAAATATATATAATTTTATAATTGATTGTGATTTAATGACATGATATATTCTATTAGTATCTACATATAATACTATAACTAAACTACAAAATATCCATATTGATCCCTTTAAAAGATCACATATTTCAGCTGGTGTTAATAATTTTTGTGTTTTACGACGAAAACCTAAACAGCTAGCTATTGGGCGAAATATAATTCCCCAAAGAGCTAAAATGTAACGTATTGGAAGAAATGTATGAATATATAAAAAAGAATCAGCACATTGAATAACTCCGTAATACATGAACTTCTCTACTTCTCTTGGTATTTTCATAAAAGAGTATATTTTTTGACGCCTTGCCGAATATCGTTCCTGATCATGTTCCAATATATAACCTCTTGTCATTTCAACTTTGAAGAAATCGAAAAATGATGGGCTTTCTAAAATTGTTTAATATTATTATTCTTAATAAAAGATAATTTAAATATAATTTCGTTAAAGAAATACTATTATCTAATTCTAATAAAGAAAACTAAGAAATACTATTATCTAATTGATCTAATTCAAAATTTTTAAGCATTTTTATACAGTCTATGTACCTAGGTACTTTAAAAGGTATGTATTAAAGATAATTTTTAAAGAGAAATATTGCCAAAGTATTAGTGTAATTAAGTTTGACATCATCTTTCAATATTTTCACCTTACTAAACTGATATAAATGAACCTTTAACAAACGATATCATATTGTTTGTTTATTTCTTTTATAGTCAACTTCACTAACATTAGCATTTTTAATGATGACAAAAACTGATCAGTTTTACTTTTTAACACAATTTTACTTAACCAGTAGAAAATATTTTAAGATTGGATTAGAGTACAATATAAAAGATTTATTAAATTTTTTTTCTATTTTTTATTTTTGTTATTGAATTTTCAAAATTCACATGATGTATGTACTGAAAATAATGTGGTTATAGAAACGTTAACTAGGCACATTATTATAATAACAAAACAATAATAAAAATACAAACATATTATTCCATTAATGAAAAGAAAGCAAAAAATTGATAAAAATAAACAAGTTTCACCTTCATTTTTCCGTTCGTTATCTATGTTGCCGGTGGTAGTATTACATTCTCCGTTTTTTAATTTTCTTCTATCATTAATATCATCAAAAATTTCTTCAATACGTCCATCAAAATTTTGCAAATTTAAATCTCCACGGAATCTTAACTTTTTTGTTGGAGTTGAGTACGTATTTTGATCTTTTATTATTGACATGCCTTGAATTGCTTTCTTATTTTTACAAAATATATTATGTATATTTTTTTTAGCTAATTTTATTGGGATGCAAATTTATATTGTCAAATATGCACTAATATGTCACTTGTAAAATTTGAAATATAGAATGGAAAGTGGTACGAAAACAAAATTTGCGTGAGCAACGCGTTATAAAGCCACATTGTGGCGTAGTGTTGCTATTTGGAAATTTGCATGAACATGAACATGAAATATATTATGTATGTATGTTTTTTTTCTTACAATTTAAAATTTAATAAAAAATTTATAAATTTAATTTTATAAAATTCGTCAAATTTTCTATTATGTATTATTTAACCATTATGTTTTGAAGTTTTTTTATCCACGAACAAGTACCTATTGTTTTATCTATTACCATAATTAAATTATTATGCTAGTCTACACTATTCGACATCTTGATAAATTTAGTTGGGTTGGATATGAAGAAGTTAAGTTAACAAAATTTTCAAAGTTGAATGTTGTGTTCCTTTTATAATTACAAATTCAACTGAGTTGAGTTTTCGTGATTTTGTTGAATTTAAAGATTGAATGTTGAAAAGCAATTTTTTTCAATATCAAAGTATGGCTAGTATTCGACTTGCTAGATTATTAAAAAAGCTTGTTTTTGAACTTAGTAATTAAATGTAATTAAGTTTTACATGTTTTATTAACATGTGCTTTACGTATTATTACGATTATAAACGCTACTGAAACAGAACAACAACATAATGACAATAATTTGCTTTTTTTTATTATAATTTTTAGGTTTTTGTAGATTAAAGAAAATCTTTGCTATAGTATATTAAATGTATTATATTAAAAATTTTAATGTTGAATTATAATCACATACATATTTATTATATTATTGATTAATAAGTTTATTTGTTAAATTATAAAAATAATTTAAATTCATTTTTAAAGGTTAAATTTCGACTCATTATTTAAAAAGAAATAATATTTTGTCTAAAATAGTTTTTAGTTTTTATTACCACATTTATAGCTTTCGTTTTTCACTCACCCTGTATGAACAAAATTTTATAAACTTCAAAAATAAATTTTGTTGTAGGTTGAATGTTTACAATTGCGCATATGAAAAACAGCTGAGAATGACATTTCCATTTGATGATATCAATTGAAAAATTTGAGAAATATTTTCACTTTTATGGTGCAGAAAAAAAAAAAATTTTTGATTATATTAAATTTTTACAATAAATGATAAGGTATAAACTTATTGTGGCGATCTTTTTCATTATTGTTTCTACATTTCATAAAATTTATTAAATGAAATGAGTGAAAACATTGAAAATGTGAAGATTTTAATTGTTGGGGCCGGAATGGCTGGATTAAGTGCGGCTAACCATTTATTGCAAAATGGATGTGATAATTTTAAAATTATTGAAGCTAGAAATAGAATAGGTGGAAGAATTATCTCTATTCCAATAGATCAACATAAGGTAATATTCATAAATACATTAAATTGTTATAAAAAAAATTGGCAATATTGCTCATTTTTTGGAAAGGGAATATTCAAGTTATGTAAGAATGTATGGTATGATTTTTTTTTCTTAAATTAGAATTAACCCGGCACATGTATTGTCTATAAGTATATTAATATCTAATTTTAGAAATTAAAAATATTTATATTGTACCTTCGTATGTAAATGCTTCGCCAAGATTTTTTAATATTAAATTGAGAAATTTTATTTTGTGGTATGTGCCAATGTTTATTTAATACATAATGGCCCTGTCTGTATTACGGAGTTCAATTTCAAGGATATTATATTTAAATAAATATACTATTATCCTTGGAAAAAGATTTTTTTTCAATGCAAACTAAATCAAAACATTTATAATTTTAGATTGAATTGGGTGCTAATTGGATACATGGTGTTTTGGGAAATCCAATATTTGAATTAGCAATAAAACATGGTTTAGTTAATATAATAAACGTACCGAAACCTCATCATATAGTCGCCACAACTGAAAGTGGAAAACAAGTTCCTTTTGAAATTCTTCAGGAAATATATGAAGCTTATGTATGCTTTTTACGACGTTGTGATGAATATTTCTTGTGTCAGTATAGTCCACCGCCTGATATTAATAGTGTTGGGGAGCATATTAATTATGAAATTGAAATCTATTTAAGTTCAATTGAAGACTTTAAAGAGCGACATATAAAAAAAATGATTTTTAATTGTTTATTGAAACGAGAAACATGTATAACCGGTTGTCATAATATGAATGAAATTGATTTACTGGAATTAGGTAGTTATACAGAACTTCAGGGTGGCAATATAGTTCTTCAAGACGGATACAGTTCAATATTGGAACCAATGCATAAAGAATTACCTCCGGAATCAATTATTAAAAATTGTCCGGTTAAAAAAATATTTTGGAAACGTAAAAAAACCCATAGCGGCTTAGAAACTGTTGATGAAAATTCTGAAAATGAGTCTGATGATTCTGATAAAACAGTAACTGAATTTCCTATTGGTGGAAATAATAATAGTTCAAATACTAATAGCAAACCTTCGTCATTTGAAAGTGGAGAAAATGAAAATTTGGTTAAAGTTCTTTGCGAGGATGGACGCCAATTTAATGCTGAACATGTGATATGTACATTGCCTTTAGGTGTTCTCAAAGCAAACTCCTCGAATATATTTGATCCAGTATTGCCCCATCATAAATTAGAATCCATAAAGAATTTAATGTTTGGTACTGTAGATAAAATATTTTTAGAATACGAAAGACCATTTTTAAACGCAGAAATAACAGAAGTTATGCTACTGTGGGATGATGAAGATACGTTGAGTTCTTGTGCAGACAAATGTTCAAATGAATATTTAGCTAAAAATTGGTTTAAAAAAATATATTCATTTGCTAAGATAACTGAAACACTATTACTAGGTTGGATATCTGGTAAGGAGGCTGAATATATGGAAACATTACCAAATGAAACTGTAACTGAAAAATGTACAGAAATTTTGAGAAACTTTTTAAAAGACCCTTTTGTTCCAAAACCTAAACGTTGTGTTTGGTAAATTCTTTTTGAGATTGGAATTGAGCAATAAATATTTTTAATGCTTTTTCAATTTATAGTACAAACTGGAAAACTCAGCCCTATACGGTAGGTTCTTATACTTCTATACCGGTAGGTGCAACACAAGAAGATATTGAAAATTTAGCTCAACCATTATATTCAAGTCCTCTTCAATCGAAGGTAATTTTTTGTGAAATTATTTGAAAGAATTTAAAACCAAAATGTAATTTTTAGCCTTCAATACTGTTTGCCGGAGAACACACCCATTCCAATTTTTATTCCACCGTACATGGTGCTTATTTAAGCGGGCGTAGCGCAGCACAAATTTTACTAACAAATGAAGAACCAGAAGAAATTATTTTAGAATCAGATAGCAGTGATTTAAGCTCTTGGATTCAAGGAATCGCATTAGACTAAAATGAATTTTATTCATATTTTAGATTTTATTAATTATAAGTTTATTTTGTGCATTACAGAACACTAATTTTTTTTTAATTAAAAATATTTACTCTTTTTTTTTATTTATTTTACTTTTTTTCATAAATTTCACATAGTTCTTTATGTATATGAGATTAAAATGCAATTCATTTTTTTTTTTAATTAATTTTTTTGGTGTTTGATTAGCCAGTACGTTATTTATTTTTAAGAATTGATATAAAAATTGCGATTAATATTAAAGTTTTAAAATTTAAGATTTTTTGTTTTTCTTTCACTTATATAAATACTGATTTTTTTTAACGGCTATGATTAGTAAATTCTTGGTCTGATAACAATTTTAAATATTATTATTAAAATTATTCGTAAAATGATTTAATAAGGTACAAAATAATTATAAAGTTTACTATTTCAAAAAAATAATTCGCATTTTTTTTTTTAATTAACATATGTATGTAATTGTGAATACAAAATTATTAAACTTAAAATTAATATTTGGATTTCTAGAAACCTTGGAAGGTAATATTGTAAAATTATAAGGTTTATGTTTTAAATTGTATAAATGTTAAAAATTGTGTATAAAATTTCAAATAAGTTAAACGACGTGTATAAATCGAAAATTTAATTAACAGATCAAATTAAAACTTTAAAATAAAATGCAATTTATAATTATTTTAATATTAGTTGTAGTAAATTTTTGGACAAGTTTGCATATTGTAGTATTCTTTCAGCAATAAATTTTATTTCATTTAAAAATAATTTCTGAAAACGGTTAATGAAAGTTCTTGTTTTTCTTTGTAAGAATATATTTGAAGTAATATATTTTATTCAGAAATTGTGATTTAAAATATTACAAACATTACACTTGTGTAAATTCCAGTATCATTTGTACTTCACAAAACCTAAAAACTAAAGCAAACTTTTGAAAAGTCCAAGAGGATTTACATATTATGTCCAAAATAATCACCACAATTTTAAACCTTAATCGCATTTTTTTTATTTGTTTTAGTCAATGAGTGAATATTTTTAAAATATTGTTTTTAAAATATTAATAGAAATTAGCACAATACTAAAAGTATTTCTTTTATAATATTAATTTTTAAAGTTTATAAAATAAGAATTAATTTTAAATTTTCATTGTTTTTTTTTTTTAATAATTATATATCATGTTTCATTAGTGACAAATTTCATTATAATATTTAATAGAATCATTTTAATAAATTTTTTATTATTACATATGCAAAAAAAATAAATACATAATTTACAAATTTACAAATTACACCAAAATATATTATGGTTCAGTGCCGTAAGAATTTTTAATTTACACGATATTATTGGGTAAATAAAAATTTCTAGTCTAGCTTTTGTAAAAATGAATATAATTACATATTATTGATGAATCCCAAAAAAATATTATTTTAAATACAATTATAATGATATTCAACATTTATTTTAAAAATTGTTTTTTAAATAACTGAAAATTTACAAAAAAAAAGAAAAATAAGAAAGACAAATTAAATAAAAATATATTATAATAATGCTTGCTATACAGTAATTACAATAATCGAATTATTATTTTTTTTTCTAAAATCACCTTTGTGTAATAAAATAATAATGTAACTCTATATATATAAAAAATTAAAAAGGAATATTTAAAGCAAATCAAAAAGAAAAACAATAGAAATAACAATCTATTTATTTTAAAGATCAGAAAAAAAAGTAATTTACTTATTGAATTCTCGTTGAAATTAAAATTTTCTTTAATAAAAATAATATAAAATCTATATTTTTTGTTTTTTTAATTAAGTTTGAAATTATTTTTCAAATAAATCTCAAAAGTTCAAATTTATTTTGATCCAATTGATATTGAAAATTTCAAATTTATTAGATTGGCAATTAATGCAAGTTTTTGATCTTACCAACACAATAATTCATTTTAAAACGAACTTTACATGCGCCTTAGAAGAAAATCAGCTTCCAATATGTTGCGTACGAAAAATGTATAAGCCCAAGAAAATAAAGTTTCCTCGTCGAATCATATAGTAAAATGTTTTTGTCATAATTTATTCCCTTGTAATATTTGTATTTCCTTGCATGTTCCTTGTATATTGTTCAAGTTTTTACTTTTGATAATATCCTTTTAAATGTTTTTGAAAATTAAGATATAATGAGCATATTTCATTTCCACAAGCTGCATTGTAGATACAAGAGCTCTATATATTTTTCAATAAGATCTGTTATAATAATGGGATACCAACTTCTATCAAAGAGATACACATGTTTATATTTATCAAAATATATCAATATTAATGAATATACATATATTTTATAAAACAAAAATTATTTTTTCAGTTCAAGCCGGAAATCTCTGCAAAATAAATAAAAAAAATCAAAAGCGCACTTTAATAAAATTTATAACAAAACTTACTATGTACATTACGATCTACATACATACATAGTCAGAAAATAGGTACCGATTTCTTGTTACCACACAAGTATTCCGTATGATTACGTACTTACATAAAAAGATAGTACCTACAAAACGAATTTTATTTCTGGATAAAATTTAAATAATATTATAAAGAAATTTTAATCTTTCTCGATGCATATCGAGAAATTTTACTGTTATCGGTTTCAATAACATTTTGATAAAATACTTACATATATCTTCCTCCAGTATTTTTGTTTTCCTAAAGTTATTCATGTAAACACAGCTGTTTTTTGTTTTGAAACTATCTGGAAAATAACAAAACTAGACAGAAACGTCGCCAAAATATTTGTGTTTGTATGGTATATGCAATAAATGACCATAAAAAATTGTCCCATGCTAAAAAAAAAAATCATAAGAAAAAATTTTGTTTTGTAATTTCTGCTTTTTAAGCAAATCAATATATAGAGAGAAAGAGAGTGTAGATTTTGTATTTTGGTAATTTTTAAAAAATACACTCATAGTATGACGTTTATACGAATGTGTTTATTATATCACAAAAGTCAAACTTAAACACTACACGTACAATACAAATTAAATATACATATATATGTACATAAGTGTGCCTGAGAGAGAAATAAAATTTCTCTGCTATAAAACTTGGCGCTCAATCATAAATATTAGCAATAGCAATCTGTCATAGACTCTTCAAAAGTGCAAACATTTATAAATTATCTTAAAAACAATTAATTATAAATTTGTTTTTAATTTAATATACAATAATAAAAAAAATAATTAAAATTTGCTAAAAAAATTGTGTTTAGTTTCTATTCATAAATATTTATTTACTTTTAAATAATCTGAAATTTTTATTTATTTTGGCAAACTTAAATAAACACCTTAATATTTAAATAGTTGCAATTCCTTTGTTCGAATGGAAGGTGATATAAATGAAGTTTTGGTTCAAAAAAGATTTAAAATAGTTTTCAATTGCAATTAAAATAAATTGATATTTTGAATTATTTAAAAAAAGAAAGTGTTTAAAAAGCTATAGAAACTAAAAACGAATACCTAATTTAAATTTATTGTTTGTTTTAACTAATTTTAATTTAAATATTATTTTTGATAAAATTCATGTATGTATTAATGTCAATCATATGTATGTAACATACATATGAAAAATAATATTTTTGTTTTTGCTAAATATGATTATGTAAAAAAATTTGCTTTGTTTTTTTTCTTAATTTTTGAAGTTGATAACAATGTTTGATTTCATTAAATCAAAAAATATTAAAAATTTTTATACATTAAAAATAAATTAAAACATAATTTTTATTGAAAACATTATCAAAAATAATTTTATTAAAAAATCTTCTAGTGAAAATAAAAAAATTGCAAATATTTTCATAATAATTTCTCAAAAAACATTGAAGAATTTTAAGCTTTGTGAAAAAATAGCCGCCATATTATTATTAATTGGAAGAAATATACATACATATACTTACGTGTAAAGAGGTATATATATGGTGTGTATGTATTTATAATATTGTGTACACTTTTAAACAAACATTGTATATTCGATCTTAATCAAATTGTATGAAATTATATTGGATTTTGGATTATATATATGAATATTATATAATACACACACGTACCTATGATAAAAAGTAAAAATATAAATAAAATTATTTGAAAAAGCTTTTTGTTAAAAGCTTTAATTTTAATATTTTTTTTTTGCTTTTGCTAAATTTACAAACATTTTCAAGAGAAGTTTTCAGAGAATATCAAATGTAAATAACAAAATATTCTCTCTTTGTCTCTCTCTTTAAAGACACAATTTCTAAAAATATCTCTTGATATAAATGAAATTATAAAACAAATGATTGATATAAAAAAAAGCTGTCTTTTATTAAAAAAAGGTAAGTGATATATTTTTATGACATTTTTATATATTTATGTATTTAAATAACAATATAAAACAAAATTCAATGTTGAATGGAAACAATAACGAAGCTTGTCAATATAAATTGATTGATTGAATTGGCACATCTCCACAGTCCAAAGACATTTTCTGTTACATGCTGTACAAAGAAATAATATGTGTATCATGCAAGTATATTTATGTCATGCAAATTACTTATTGCATAAATAATGTCCAAATTTTTTATTTTTGTTACCAGTGCTCGAAGTGAGGCGGGATGGAGTGGGATGCCATCCCAGTACTTTTAAAAAATTGGAAATCCATCCTACTACTTAATAGGAGAGAAAAATGCGTTCCGGAACATGTTTTTTAAAATTTAAGAAAATTTTCTAAAGAATTTTAAAAATTTGTTTAATAGAAAATTAAATATACATACTTATGTAATTTTAAATAAAACCAATTTCAAATAGTAACGTATAATTTTTTTCTATTAATGAAATTTTCGTTACTTCATAGTAGACTATGCATTTCTTTGGTAACAATTTGCACAGTTTTTGATTCAATTTTTAGTTGATTTAATTTTGAATATAAATATTCTCGTTAGTTTACTTCCAAAGTTTGGTAAATTTTGTTTAGTTATTTTTTTAAAAAATAACTAAAATAATACTTTTTTTTTTTTTTGCCATCCCACCACTTTGAGTATCCAACTTCGGCCACTGCTTGCTACAAAATACAAAAGTGGTACAAGTTACAATTAATTAATATATATGCATAAAAATAATATATGTGTGTATGCGATTGTGTAGTATAAAACACGCTTTCACAATAATAAGTAAATGAGCAATATAATTATCTTATCAAAAACAAACAAAAATATAAACTACAAATGAAATTAATACACATACGTATATACGTATGCATGTTCATAATTTATAAGTACGCATTTGTAATAATATGTCAGTTTAAATTCTTATTGCTTTTGTACTTTGGCCCAATCATTTCTTTTTATTGTTATTAATTTTGTTTTAAGTGTCCAAAGTTTAGGTACATGTGCGTCAGTTTATTAAGTTTCTTTTAAAAATAAGAAAATTATTCTTGAAAATTATTCCACATTTTCTTTTATAAGAACACAATATAGGTAATTAAGTACTTAGTTACTTTTGAAAATTTTATTAAATGAGTACATGTAAGTATCTATGAGTATTGAGTTTTCAATTTGAAAAAAATATTATTAAATATGCATAAGTTGCATCAGAGAGGAAGATGGTTTGTTAGGAAATTGTCAAATTTTTTTTTGAACAACTTTTCATTTTAGGGATATTGAATTTAATATTAATTAAAAATTGACTTTTTGTTCTAATTATTACTAAGATTTAAGCTAACAACAGTTTACATTGGTTTGTTTAAATACAGTCTTGTTTAATTTTTGCACTTTTTGAAGCCAAATAATATTAAGTAATTCATATGTAATACACTTAAGTATAATATTAAAGTGAATTTTGTATTAAAGATTCTTTTATTTTAAAATGTAAGGATACAAAAACAAAGAATTCTATAATATCCTTGAAATAACAAAATTTTAGTTGACTCCAAAATTATTTTTATATAGTTTAAATTGCCCTTTCTTTTCTTGCTTTTCTTTTAAATTATTCTGTTAGAGATCTCCTATACTTATACTTCTACTCGAATTTTCTATGGAATTAAGTGTATTTACATCATCTGCATAATATAGAAACCAGCCTATTTAATATATGAATATAGGTATTTGTATACTTATCCAATCTAATCGATTGATATGTACGAAATTCCTGAAAAGAACTTTTAAAATATAAAATGTTTGTTAAATAGGTATGAGCGAACATATACTATAAGCGTCAAAGCAAGTTGCTCATAACAATTTTTTGTTTTTGTAATTGTTATAGCAACATTCAAAAAAAATCAATACATTGATTTAGTATTCAAATCTTAGACAGTATTTATGTTTATATGATGCAAGGATATACTTAATGAGTGCACATTTTACATAGTCTTCCAAAAATTTCATTTATTTCCCATAATGCAATTTAAAGATTTTATTAAGAATAAGGAATAATTAATTTTGTTAGCTTTGTTATTTTAAGTAATAAGTAAACTTACTACTACAAAATACTTTACTTTGTATGTATTCAAAATTAAATAATGGATTTTAATTGAACAAAAATATTTTGGACAATAATCTGAAATAAAACGATTAGTGTATATCCTATACAAATAAATTTAAATTGTAAAGGCTCTGTGTGGAGCTATAATTTTGGACATTTACTAAAATTTAAGGAAGGACAACATAAATAAATGCTTACTAAAAATGAGCAATTTCATTTGACGCTCATTGTATTTACTTAAATGAGCATGTTTTGAGAAATATTAAATAAAACGAGAAAAAATGTCCTGTGTGCGAATAACTGACTATGGGACAGACTATTACTTTAAGTTGCCGTATTACCATATTAAAATTTTGCAAAATTTCAGTACTGTGTTTTTCAAAATACTGTGTGTGCCAAACTACTATTGAAGTTGAATGGCAGCTACCAGAAAGAGCCAAGCCATTTCAACGAATTTTATCAAGCACATCGGCCGTACTAATATATTCGTTTGTGTGAAATTTCAATACATTTCAAAAACATACACTTGAGTCTATATCCAATACCGTTATTTCTTAGCGTTACAAACGGTAAGGCAAATTTAGTATACCCTTCGAACATACGTTTGTACGGGTATAATAAAAGAAAAGTGGGAAAAACTTTTCAAGGACTTTTTGTCTTTAATATTTTTTCTATTTTTCCTTTTTTTTTTCTTACCCATTATATTCTTCGAAGGAGAAAAGGATATTCGAAAAACCATAATGATTATACAATATTCTCTAATATAGAATTAAAAATAAGAATAGAATAACAAAATAAAAAAAAGATTTGAAAAATTCCAAAACATTGCAAGAAAAATAATTTTATTTTTTTTTGTCTGCTCCTTTTTTTTTTATTTCTTTAATCTTAATGGGCTTATAATTCAAGGACTTTTCTTCATTCCTCTTTTTTTATCATCATTATTATCATCACAGATCGTCCTTTCTTTTTGTAAAAAATTGAAATATAAAAATAAAAAAAAAAACTAAAACATGAATAAATAAATAATTCATTAAAAATTTCCAACTAATGGAAAAAGAGTAAAAATTGTTGGTGCTAGAAATTTTTATAAACCTGCAAACCCTTCAAATTTTACTGAAGATTTTTTATTAAATAATTTCTTAAAGACGGATAAAATTATCTAAACAAATGGTATTTAATTGGACATTTTGGCGAAACACTGTAACATGACCAATAGGGTGATTGTTAGATCTTCAGAAGTCTAGATATTATGAATATTAGTGCTGTAAAAATTTCTGCGAGTGTCTGTTTCTGATTCAGAGTAAATAGGTCAGAGCAAATTATTTTAGAGAATTTTTCATTGTAGAACTGAAAGTACCTTGACCAGGTTTGTGAAGAAATTGGGTTGATTCCATTTCCAAGCAAATTTTTCTGTATCCATTAAATTATTGGAATATGAAATCCATTAAATTATTGGAAGTTTGGGGATTCCGATAATGCACTTTAACTGATTGTGTTTGCTTGACGTTATCTGGAATGTTTAATCTCACCGGTGAATAATGAATTGAAAAACTAAAAATTTAGAAAATTAGTGGAATTTCATTGAGTATTCCAATATTTTTTTTCTTTAAAATCTTTAATATTTAAATGAACTGGAATGATTAATCAGAATAATTTACAAATAAGTAACTTGTAATTTTCATTACTTAATATACATATAGAGCCAATTTTTCCATTTATGTAATTTATTTTTTTAATTTTATTAAAAATTTTCAATTAATTTCATTTGGCAAAATATACTTAAAGGCTAAATGTTTTTTATGCATTAAGTCTAAGGTCCATAAAGACGTTGAATATTTCAATTTTGATTTTAAATATACCAAAGTAAGTAACGTGTATGTAATTAGTATATAAGTAAGGATTTATAATTTATAATTATATAATATAAAGATTTACAATTTTTAGGTAAAAAGATTTTAGGATGTTAAGATTTTAAGATGTATAATTCAAAATTAAATGTAAATTTTGTTTACAGCTTTAGTAAATTTATTTGAATTTCTCGCATTTTTTCTTAATTTAATTTAATAAGCATCACACTAAGTATGGTTTTTAGTACAAGTACACATTACGGTTTATCTCAAAAATTTAATTCAATCATAGTAAATATTGGGCGTCTAATGAGGTAAATCCGATCCTGTATACAAGTTTCCTGTTATAAATAATAATGTGAATAAAAATATTGTATAATTTGTCATTCTAATTCATTGAGAGTTTATGATTGGGAACTAATATAAGAAAAAGTTTTAAAATATTTTGCAATGCCAAATTTACCAAAAATTTTCCTATTGTTGCTATTCTGTCGGACATCCATTTCATTTCAAATTTTCGTGAATTTAAGTATATGTATAACTTAAATTGATACACGTATACATTCCGTGACTTCAATAATGCGCTCACGACGTAAATTTTACAAACTATCAAGTTCCAAAAAGTTTAGTAAAAGCTCTTGACATTGTACACTCTTCCTAAATGCGTTTTATACGTAGTGGGGACGTAAAATAAAAGTAAATCGGGTGTTGAAAAAATCGAGCACCCTTTTCTTATACCTTGTCATAATATATAAATGTTGCCAAAAATAACCGATAAAATAAACTGGCATATATTTTCAGCAATAAAGTGCTAGTTATCAAGTTTTTTCCTAAAATGCAGCATAAAAATGTTGTTTTTAACGATGTGGTAACGTTTTATAAAAATGAACATTTGAACAGAACTTTTAATTGAAATTTTCAAGTAAACGTCAAAGTTGTATTGATATGGTAAAAATTGTATTCCAAAATGTATGAAAAGCTTTAGTAGTTTTTTTTACAATGTAAAAGTA